TGTTGTTCATTAGTATAAGTATTTATACAAAGTTTTGCGTTGTTATCCATTACCGTAATTTTTTCATTATGCTTTTAAATGCAAAACGTTTGACAATGTGCCGAGCGTTCATTAGAACGTGAAAAACTATCCATTATAAAATTTCTTTCCGGAGAGATTAAGCATTTCCTTCTAAGGAGACATTTGACATTCATTGACCTTTGACCATTGATCATTGTCATTGACGAGACAGTAAGCATTTCTGTTGGGTGAAATTCATAAAATCTCCTAAAACAGTTTTTTTTTTTTTTTTTTTTTTTTAGTAAAATAGGCTTCTCAATTCCACTAGTCAGTCTTTCTTGTTTCCTTCCTAACCTTTTGTTTCAGATAGTGTAGAAGGTCAACATCATGATTATACCATTATTTTCTTTTCGAGTTACAGGTGCTGTCTATTTTGATTGTTTCCACTGTTGGAAGATTTAAAGTCATGCCAGTTTTGTTATTTAATAAAGTTTATGATTCTTAGTGGCAGTGTTCTTATGAAGGATAGTCTTCTTGAAGACCTACAAGTCTCATTGACCTGAATCCATTTTTTTTCTGTGCAAATGGTTGTATATGGTTGATACTTGAGACATTTATGAACCAGATTGATGTAATGTATGGCATCCATATTGGTATCTATATCTGACAAGGCTATTTAAGAATATGATTCGAGTTCTTAATGTTTCGATTTTGTAGCATGTTGCAGTGTTGAACAAAGGTGAGCTTAGCGCAGAATATTCTGTGACCCTTATCTCTTGTACTAAATTTTTTATAACTGATCCATACACTGGGGTATTTGAAGTGTTTAAGAATGGAAAGTTGTAGCAATGCAGGTGGACTAGTTGATTTTGTATTTTGGCCTTTGTTTTTTCCCCTTATACACTGTTGGGGAGACAGTTAATTAACCTATTCAGATTCTCGCTGTTCTTTCTCTGCAAGAGAATAAGAGAAACATGACAAATTGGCGTCGCCGGTAGGATAAGAATAACTATCCTTTGCCGTGTGGATTGTTAACTTCGATAACAACTAGTCGAGGAATCTAAATGAAATAATAATAAAAACGAAAGAATATTAATATACAACCCAGTTCTTCATTAAAACGATTGGCAAGGTACTGCAGTTAAGTCTTTTATTTAACCGCAGTACCTTATGGCTACAATTAGCCACATTCGGATTATTCCTACTTAATAGCCTCTGAATAATTTGAAACATAAACATTGCTGCTTACTCAATAATAATTCAGTAGACCTTGCTACCCATAATGAACCATTTTCAGCATATATAAATAATTGAGCCATAACACAACATGCATGGTCTGAAGATTACGTTCGAACATGCTCAGTCATTCACTATAAAAATCAAAACTATATCACATAATAACTCGGAATTTAACCTCCTTTGAAATAGTCCCCGTTCTGATATCAAGAACTTTAGCCAGGGTTGTTGCCAATGATGGAAGCATTCTTGGAACTCCTTTTTGGAGGAATAGCGATCAACTACCTTGTCACATTCTATTGGCATTCCTCGGTTTCTTGACATCTTGTTCCTTTCAAGTGGGATTTGATTTTTGGAAAGAAGAAAAAAAATCCCATGAACGAGTCCAGGTGTTTACGGATCATGTCGGGCCTGGGGAATTTTGTATTTGACTAAAATCAGCTGCACAAGCCATTGTCCGTGATGAAATCTCTGTAGTGAGGTGAGATAACCAGATTGTACACACTTTCATCCTACGAACTCTTCTATAATCAAAGAAAGTGAAAGCGAACTTCATATGTTGCTGTGGATACGCGTCCTTCAGCTCCGTTGTCATTCTTTTTAATCAGGCCTTGTATAATATATATATATATATATATATATATATATATCCAGGTAAGTTGAATTTAACGTATGTCATATTCGATTGATTGATTTGAGTAGAGCCCATAAACCTTATAACTATCCACTTTTTTCTTTTTTTTTCGTAAAAAGAGGTTGTATTGTGCTTCTAAATCTAAACAAATCTTTCACTCGACAGTAATTTACAATCACCTGATGAGATGCGTTGAGACACATCGAAACACAATTGCAATTCTGTAGCGGTTCTGTCCAACAGAATTGAATGGAACGTTGTAGAACTCTCTAGAATGTTCTAATATAAGTAATGCAGATGCAGCCGTTTTTTTTTGTTTTGTTTTTTTTTTGTTTTGTTTTTTTACCTTTGTCCTTTGCCCGTCCTACACTGTTGGAGAGACAGTTAATTAACCTATTCGGATTCTGTCTGTTCTTTCTTTGCAAGCGAACGAGAGAAACACGACAAATTGGTAGGATTGAATAGAAAGTTGTAGAACTCTCTAGAATGTTCTAATCGTACTGCTACATAAGCAATATGGTGGACTGGTTGTCTTTTGGCATTTGTCCTTTGCCCGTTATACACTGTTGGGGAGACAGTTAATTAACCTATTCGGATTCTGTTCTTTCTCTGCAAGCGAACGAGAGAAACACGACGAATTGGCTTCGCCGATAAGAGAAGAACGACTACACTGTCGAGATAACAATGGCGGAACAACGTGACACGCTGATTAAGTTATTATCACAACATCAACTCCAGAGGGAAGAAATGGAGGTACAGCCGCAGCAGCATAGAGAAGACATGGAAGCTTTGAGATGGCTGATTCAATTTCAAACTTCCGAAAGGGATTCAAGTCCAAGTTCCCGTTTTCCAACTTCTTCAATTGCTATCCCACCTTTTAACTTGGTCCGCTCTGGTCACTCCTGCATGTATCCCTGTTGGTGTATCCCTGTTGGTGTATCTTGCGACGTACCAGTTGGTCTCAAAAGTTAAGATAACGCGGAAAATTGGTAAACCCGCCTGGCAGACCCATCAGGAAGGCCACCATTTTGAAGTCTCCGATAACCTTCCAACTGTACTCTTCATATTTCAAGATCTTGACACGGTTGTATTCCTTTTTGAGTGCACCGAGTGACCTAGAAGAAAAGATGGATATATGTTTCCGTTATGAAGCAGCACGAATTTGTGTCTCCTGGATGAACTGTCGATGAAGAGGCGCCACTCGCTGGGGTTACAGGTGATTCCAATTGCTTCGGACAGACCGGTCACATTGTAGCAGAAGCAAAGCCCAATTTGACGGCTGAAAAATCTTGAAAAACACTGGTGACGTTTTCTCTGATCTTGCAACTTGCACACTTTCATTCTATTGTTTGCGTTTCAACGTCAAAAGCACGACATTTGCTGCTTTTAATTTAACATCGGAATTGTGGCCTAATTACCGGTCAAGATTCCACACTTTTGTTGTGGCCAGAACCATGCATGATCAGCGCATGGCTCAGGTTTTCTTGACCAACTAAACTGCTACCATCTATAAACAATTGACGAATTTGGCTACTCAAAAGAATCTACCTAAGGATATTAACAAGTTGACGATGGAGGAAATCAACTTTATGAAAAAAAAAAAAAAAAAAAAACAATTCGACCTGAAACGTTTCATTGTGCGATGACGTTTCAACTTCTGGAGTAGCATGCAACGGAAGCTAGGCGAAACTCTCCAGGAATTGGCAGCGTGTCTACGTCAAGACGTTGCTACTTATGACCTTCCTTCGATCATCGAACTGCATGATGAAACTCTTAGACAGATATTCATATGTTTTATTAACAATGAAGATGACTTGAAGGGTCTTTTCAAGATCTTGGACACAGAGCGGGTCCAGGTCGTTATTGTGACGGAAGGCGTGGGTAGGGTTGCCAAGGAAACCGTTTACGGATCCAAGACCAGGGTGAAGCAGAACCAGAACAAAGGTTAACAAAAATGCTACAAGCAGCCTAATTCCACGGACCTGACTATAAGTGTTATAGATGTGGAAAGGCTCTTAAATAGACAGACCGCCTCTACAAAAACGTCAAATGCCACAATTGGGACAAGAAAGGAAATTTGAAAGAAGCTGTTTCTAAGAAGCAATGAGGACATCGTTTCCAGCCTTCCGTGAAGAGAATCACGAAAGCAGAGCTTGCCAAAACGATTCTCGATGATACTTCTAGTTTGGTTGTGCCTCTTGGACTGTCTTATGACGTATCCAAAGTGAGGCAGTTCTCTTTCATCACTCTCCGGATTGCCAACGTGTCCAAGACTCTCACGTTTACAGAAAGAAACTACAGCTAAATCCATAAAGAATCCCTAGCCATTATCTTTGGCTTTCTCAAAATCTACCAGTATCTGTACAGACGTCTATTCATACTGGTTAATGATCATAAACCACTAAAGGCACTGTTCGGACCTAAAAGAGGGACACCGCTTCTCGCAGCCAACCGACTATCTTGATGGGTTCTGTGGTTAAACCTGTTTGATTACACAATCGAGTCCCGAAAACAGAGGATCATGGCAATGCAACTGCCGTTAGTCTCCATCTGGAGGTGACAACGAATTCATCAGGGAAGAAGACATGGACATGGTGTGCGCCATCAAAGTCAAACCTGCAGATGTCAACATGCTCTGTCAAGAGTCTGGGAAAGATCAGTAATAGACTATGTTCGCGAAGGGTGACCAACTAAAATCAAGGATAAAGTAGAAAAGGTCCGGAAATTGTCAGATTTCCTCAGTATCGACTACGGATATCTCATCTATGGATCAAGAGTTGTGATTCCACAGAGCCTACAGGCCAATATCCTAGATCTACTGCATATTGGAGATTTTGTCATGGAACAGATGAAGCAGTTAGCAAGAACCACTGTCTATTAAACCGGTATTGATACAGCTATAGAGGTGACTAGGCGACGACGTGACTCGTGCGGCGAATATCGAAATAAATTATCCAAACCTGCAGATCACCCATTGATGTTGCCAGAGAAGCCATAGAAACGCTTGCACCTGGATCATGCCATCAACTTCATTGGTATGAACTGGTTGATGATCTCACTGTATTCACATATTCACCCAACGTCAACCACATCCACTAGAGCTGACTTCGGATAACCTCGCACGCCGGTTATGGTTAATGTATCGAATCTCCTTTCTCGAAGTATTTCAGAGCACGTGCAAAGAACGTGGGATGATGCACCTGACAGGAGCGCCGTACCCCACTCAGCTAACAACGGAGTATCAGAACCTTTAGTTCAGACTTTCAGGCAAACATTGAGAAAGCCTTCTCTACCCACGAAGCGAGCTCTTGATGCAGTACCGGAGAACGCCGACATCATGTGGTTTCTCTCCAAGCGAATTTTTGATGGCACGTCCGGTAGATATGAACTAGGATTGATTCTCTGCTGCCCTCGTCAGAAAACATAGTTCATGGTAAGCAATTCAAGGTGTCATCAAATGCTGAGATGACTCCAAACTCGGGAGGTGTCACCAAGGTAACGAGGCAATACAAGGCTGGTGATCCGGTATATACACTAGACAAACATCCCCGATGAGTACCGGCAATCGTTACGAACTCATTAGGTACTCGTTACTTGTGGAATCTTAGAAATTTTTTAAATGCTTTTTTTGAATGGTAGGTTGTGTTGTTTCTACTTTGTGAGAACAAGAATGTTCACATTCGCCAGTTTTCCCAATGATAAGAGGTAAATTTCAGAAATAGCAATATCCTGTTTTAAAAAGGAAAGTTTAAAGGAAATATTAGCCATTTTTCATACTTTCTAGATATAAGCAAATTGGAAATAACTGTTGTTACCCAAGTACAAAAATTGTGTTACACAGTGTAATCATTATTGTATTATTATGTTAATAATAATTGTTATTATCTTAATAATTATTATTATTATCGTAATAATAATTATTATCTTAATAATATATACAGGGTGTCCATAAAGTTTGTGTGCATTTAAATAATCTGTAAAAAATGTTATAATGTTTAATGTACCTAGTTTTAAGTATAGCAAAAAATAACTAATGTGATTTCAGGAATTACTGTAAATCAGTTGGCAAATGTTTTCCGTGAACTACAAAATCGTATTACCCTTTGTATTGCTAATGATGGAGGACATGTGGAAACTTAAATAAAATTTCAATAAAACCTTAAAAAATAAAGATTTACTTCTTTCTAATCCTTTTTACAAATTATTTCTATCGCAAATACAAATGAAGTTATAAATTTTTTAAGTGCACACGAACTCTATGGACACCCTGTATATTATATAATGATAATGTAATAAATAATAACATAATTATATGATTATATAATTATAATATATGATCTAATAATAATAATAATAATAATAATTTATATATTATTAATTATATGATTTATAAAATTTAATGAAATGAAATATTTGATTTCAGTATCCAATGATAAAAATTTTGTGAAAATACAGAAGGTTTAGCAAAAACATTTCTGTGAAATTGCTTTTCAAAGTAAATATTTTTCTTGTTTGGAAAATAATAATAGATAAAAAATTATAGCTTTTAACTGAACGGATGCAAATAGTAATTGTCACTATGAAAGCTAAAAACCTATAATGCAAAGGTGTGGAACCACACTTTCTCCATGAAAAGACATATAAAAGAATATATATATAAAAGCAGAGCTGGTTATCTGTCCGCCACGCACTGTCTGCTTCTATGTGTTTCATGACAGTATTTGATGTATATACTTATGTATCTGCTGGGCTTGGGTGACTTACATATGCTTGTGCTATTTTATGTACACACGAACACAGGCAAACGCACATACAAACAATTTATTGGGTTTGAAATAAGACCTTCGAATAATACATTTCCTTCCTACTCAGTTGGAACAACCCCTACCTTGGGCTGAGAAATTAAATATAAAGGTTAGAGACAAGAAAAAGACAATCAAAAAATTATAAAATTTTATCGAACTTTTCGGATGTTATTCAGTAATAAGTAGAATTATTTTTAAACGTTTTAAAACAATTTTTAGAAATATGTTTAGGTTTTTCATTGAATTAAACGTACATGCACACATGCAATTTGAATGAAACCAAAATGAAAATCAGTTTTGTGAGGGCTAATTTTTCCTTTCTTTCTGGCAGCAATCGCTTACCGACATGAAAGGAGTATAAGCCGAAATGTGGAGCTCCTCGAAGTCATTTTTACAACTCCTGTATTTAAACTAAATATATGTTCTAATAAATGTAATATTTTAAATGGACAGACAATTTAGAATTGAAAATTGATTCCCTTGCAGTCTACGAAACGGTGGAAAAGGAACTAAACTTAATAAAAAGCCTTTTTCTGGATTCAATAAATGTGGAAATCAAATTTGAGGCGTGTACTTCAAAATGACAGACAAGCAAACGCTTGCCAATTATAGAATCTGTATGTTTATTATGCAAATCAGATTCTTAGCTCATTTCCATTACCCAAGTTTCAACAGGAAAAAAAAAAAAGAAAAAATCGTTTTTATTAGATTATAAGGCCTTAAGCTAATATTAGTTTAAACTGCATAATAACTTCACAGTGCAGTTTTTATAATAAATTCAATAACTTTAATAAAACATGTTTGTTATGGTCCGGTTCCTTGTATTACGGTGATAGTCCAAGGTAGAACCAATAAAGAACTCGTGCACAGGTATGGAATAACACAGATATATTACAAACAGGAATATATACAGAGAAGTAGAAGTATTAGTATGAACAATCAGGTTTAGGAGAGAGAACAATGTAGTCTCGACCAGTATCACTATTCCAATGTCTTGCAGTAATTGTCTGAACGCGACTCTGTTTCGGACTGCCTCTGACTCGACTCTTGACTCGACTTGAACTACTGACTCACGATATTGAGTCACCCCCCCCACGAGGGTGTCATGTGGCACAAGGCCTTTTTAACGTGGGAATTCCCGAGCCATTAGGCTCAGCCAAAAAATAGCCCATTTGAACCCGTATAAACGTAGCCTCCTTCGGGTTCCTCCCGCCCGTAGGAAGAGAGTTCAAACCGAGCAGTCTGTTCAAAAGTGAACTACTAACTCACTCCTTGCCTAATCCTGGGGTGCAGTATTTATTAAGTATAAATAGTCCATTATTATTATTATGGGTAAGATCCCATAACAGTGTTGAAACTATCTAAAAAATTAACTCAAGCTTTATTTTGACGTCTGAACTAATCGATTATAATTTGACAAAAAATCTTTGAAAGCAAATTCAACTTAACTGAGTTTTATCTGATTTGCATAACTTCAGACGGACTGTATATATTTATAATAGTACAAATTTGCTTTTGCCCGCTTTTTCGTGCTGCTGCGTCCCTATCGACAAATCACAAAATTCATGATTCAGAAATATTGTTATTATATCTTCTTCTTCTTCTTCTTCTTCTTCTTCTTCTTATTATTATTATTATTATTATTTGTATACGGAGTAGCGGCGACGGTGAGAGCAACGTTAGTCAGCGCCGGGCGGTCTACTCTATGATGACTATTAAACTGAGATAAAGAGGAGATGGGCCGAGAAAAGACGACCGTGGAGAACATCGTTCCAAGATGGCCCAATGATAGTCGGCCGTCCTGGAACACCCGCGAAGGGAAACCATCTTGACATGACGCTTCGATTCAGCTGACTTCTCCAAAAAGGGTAGAGTGGGATTTGAGAAGAGAGTGAAGAGCGACCACGGCGTGAATATAGGACAAGACGAGTTTCATTATCATGATATCAACAATTACTCAACTTCACTACTTCTGCCTTACTGGACCATTAGAAAGGAAAAAAAAAATACTGCTTTGCACTGTTGCAGGTCACCCATGTGCAAGGAAGTGGAACTCTAAATTGACGTACTAAGTGTTGAAAAGTTAAGACAATTAAAATATCGAATATATTAAAAATAATTGTACGCTTACAAACCTTTGAATTCGTATTGAAACTACATTAAAATTATATTAAAACTCGTCTGACCATTATATAATAGTCAGTGGATTATCAAAACTGCATTCACATTCAAAAGACGGATTTAGTTGCGCTTCTAACTGAGGGAAAACATTCTTTGGCTTTTGTGGGCTTTCTTTTGGGGTATCTGTAATAGTGAGGCAATCTCTCTCTCTCTCTCTCTCTCTCTCTCTATATCTATATATATATATATATATATATATATATATATATATATATATATATATATATATTTCTGAGACTTCCGCTAGTCCAGCCGAACGTCATGCCATCTAAAATAACCATTTCTTGACCGATCGAAACCATATTTGGGGGAGAAGTGCATCTAGCTAACTGGGTACAAAATACAGTTGATTTTCATTTGACTGCGTAGTTCATTACAATAAATTTTCATTAATTTTTGTTGAAATTTTAAATGTTTTATTATTTAAAAAGCAAAATATTCTCATTATTTTAAAACCTTTTTAATGATTAAAATAACACGTACTTATTTAATTGCAATATTGTTTTTACATATCTTTCAGTTTTTATATATACAAGAATCAAGTTTCCAGTTCGCCCTGTGTTTGCTAGAACTATAAACAATTCCCAAGAACAAAAGCTGCAACGAAATATTTGCACATGGCCAGCTGTATGTTGCATGCTTAAGTGTAAGAAAACATAAGAATTTATTCTTCACTGTTAAAAAAGATTTTTTTTAATGAATTATTGTTTACTATGTAGTCCTATAAAATTAAATTAAATTAAAGAAAGTATTAAACTGCGAAGTAGGGTTTTTGTCAAAGTATTTTTCCAAACGAATCAGTTTATTCCGCTTCATCAAAATTGAACGAAATGTAGCGATATCTTCAACAATACTAAATACTGTGATGATTTTAACGCGCGTCAGCGTGTTGCAAAAAAAATTGTAGGTATCTTAAGGTTTGATTTCAAAATTCTAGTTTCTTAAAAATGCTCTTTGTGCTTCAGTTAATATTAGGGTAAACGACAAGCAATGTCCGTCTCTAGGAACAAATTGTAATGACAAATATATCAACCTAATGTCCGTACAGCAATAGCAGCGTATACAGAGGATGAAAGGAAAATGTTGTTCTCCGCCATAAAAAAAAATAAAAAAAATAAAAAAAACATAAGGCCGCATACAGCAAGAATAACACAGGAAAATATCTTGGAACTCGGTTGGTCTGTTCAAATATATCAACACCAACGTATTGCCTTTTTCGATCGATTCAAAATTCATTGATGTGGAAAACTTTCTTGAAAGGAAAATAAATCCATGAGTTCGCCAAAAATATTTTCAAATCAACGGAAGATTATCGAACAGAAGCTTTAATAATTGATAGCAGCGCAATAATACCTTATTTAAAAAAAATAAATTGATAAACAAAAAGAAAA